TTTAGATAGTTTAAAGAACGTTTCGGGTCATTTTCAGCATTTCAAAACTTTCCATAATTTATCCGCCGTACGTTCATTTCCACGCACATAGCACATATTAAAGCTGGAAATCACGTTTTGTTATATACTTTGTGTTCCTGACACATTATTCATATCAGGAGTCACTCTTTGTGCTATTACCGTGCTCACGGGTGTCAAGACGTACGTGTACACATGCATATTTTAGCATATTATGACACTTTTCAATCAGCACCGCGTGATCTTAATGAGGGTCAAAGTGCGGGGGATCACCTAACTCGTCCTCAGTGACGAGTTCAAATCTAGTTATGGTTACTGTTATTATTACTGTTATAGATGTATTGTTATTTTTAATGTTATTATTCCAATATCACCCAGTTCAATCATATGGTGGTACTCTAAAGAAGAAAATATATATTTACATACTCAGCTGAATCAAAAATAGCATTTCTCAATCAATTTTAGATACAACTACCATTTCTTTGCCTGTTTCTACCCATGAGCACAGTGATTAATTCACAATATGATAAAATATACCCCCTTAATTATTTAAAAACAAAGTCTGTCTTGAATTTGTATTCATTTCGTATTTCTTTTACTGACAAAATATATGATACAGTGTATAATATGTTAACACAAGCTTGTTTCCATAATGTGTGAACCCTGTGGTTACCAGGTTACGAATAAGAATCAGCCCCACCGCGAGGGGTCACTGGTACTTTTAATGGTGCTGCTTGGTGCTTGGACAAGGAATAATTATAACGGCGTTTATGAAAATGCGACACAAATCACTCTTCAGAATCTTACAAGATCCCGAGACGTCCATTTTCTCATTCAATTTCAGCATACTAACATAATAATAACAATGATAAAACACTTCCTGTAAAATGGTTACACATTTTTTCAATACACAGATTTCTATGTTCAAATTGATACCTTGATGCAGAGGAGATATATTTTAGTGGCCACTGACAAATGCTCAACTGTAAAAGTGCTTTTCGATGAAGTGGTAGTGGAACGTGATTTTGGCTTAGAAATTAGCAATGAAACAGTAGTTGATACATCTGACAAAGGGCCAAGGATAGAAACAGGCAAAGAAATGCTATATTTTTTTATTCAGCTGAGTATGTAATTATATTTTCTTGTTTGGAGTACCACTACAGTATATGATTGAACTTGGTGATATTGGAATAATAACATTAAAAATGACAATATATCAGTAACGGTAATAATAAAGCACTATAATAACTAAATAAAAGACTTCTAACACAAACAGTTATGAATACGATGATGGTGGGGGTGTCATCTATATACAAAGACCCCTACAATGTCAAAGTGTTGGCCTTAATATTTGAAACAGCATAATAACATAAGCAAAATAATAAAATACTTCTAGTGTTTTTACCAATTTCACCATAAAATGATGGGTAAACATATTTTAATACACAAATTTCTATACCTGGAGGCAAAGGAGACATACTCTTAGTGGTCACTGACAAATTTTCAACTGTAGAAGTGCTTTTCGATGAAATGGCAGTGGAACGTGATTTAGGTGTAGAAATTAGCAATTGAACAGTAGTTGATACATCTGACAAAGACTCATGGGTAGAAACAGGCAAAGAAATGGTAGTTGTATCTGAAATTGAGCGAGAAAATGGACGTTTCGGGGTCTTGTAAGATTCTGAAGAGTGATTTGTGTCGCATGTTCATAAACGCCATTATAATCGATTCCTTGTCCAAGCGCCAAGCAGCACTATTAAAAGTACCAGTGACCCCTCGCGGTGGGTCTGATCCTTATACGTAACCTGGTAACCACAGGGTTCACACATTACAGAAACAAGCTTGTATTAACATATTATATACTGTATCATATATTTGTCATTAAAAGAAAAACAAAATGAATACAAATGCAAGACAGACTTTGTTTTTAAATAATTAAGGGGGGATATTTTATCATATTGTGACTTATCACTGCATTTAAGATATTTCAATCTAGCACCGAACATCCAAATTCACTCAGTCTATCTTGGTCTATGCAACTATGGATCAACATTTTTGCTGTTGCTGTGTCTGCCTTGTGGAATGAGCTGTCAGCATCTACAAAGACTTCTTTTACTTACCTTAAATCTGCCCCAAAAGCACTAATTAAATTATGAATTGTGTAACATTTAGATTATATAAAATACTGTACTATGAATATCGATTGTAATTTATGACCCTTTGTGTTAAGAAAATTTGCATACAAGCTGTCATGTGCTTTGTACATAAAGAAAACAGACCTCATGTGCGAGGCAGAACAACACACACACCCCCACACACTCTGTACTTAGATGATGACGCTGTTGTATGGTCACGTTCTATGTTGGAACAGACAAGCTTAAATGCAAAAGAAACTCCTTATGTTTATGATATTTATGTGTGTGTGATTCTTTCTTTAACAATTCTTGGCTGAACCATAATATACCACCTTCCAAAAGCATTCACCAGCACCAATCATAGCACCATCTAAGACCTTCGGACACAGATCATTTTCATTTGCTGCAGCCACACTCTGGAACGCACTACCACTTCACATTAAAAAATCAACATCAATTGCTTTATTTAAAAAATCACTCAAAACGCACTTATTCCGACAATAACATGTAGCACCACTGATAATTACTTCGGTTTTTTAAATGGGGCTATATAAGTTCTTACCTTATTATTATTATTATCTAAGAGAGTACAGTACGGTACTCCACATGTGAAAACAAATAAGGTTCATGAGTGAGCAGACTTAAACTATATAATTATATGTATTCACCTGGTACTTGAAGACAGCCTTCAGACAAGGAGAGATCGTCAATGGCAATATCCCCTTCATTACCTGTCCCCACAGTAGCCCTAATCACAAACTGCAACAAAAAAACACAACAATACATTATCACCATTAAGATAAGATTTAGCCCACATCATCCAATTACGGAAGAACTGCTCAAGGCAATTTTTTCCTGGTCATTGGATACAGAATCAATCTACACAAAATGCAACCTTCTCCACTAGTGGGGAGTATTCCTCATTATGCATGTAATCAGCACTACTACTTCATTCCCTGAAATAATAATAATAATAATAATAATAATAATAATAATAATAATAATAATGCCAAATATTTATATAGCGTCAATTCCAAATTGAATAATCAAAGGCAGTGAGCGTTATTACCCTGGTCACTGGATAACATACAATTGCAAACCAGCACCAAGTGCAACCATCTCTGCTCCCTGGGAGTATACCTAGTCGCACACTTGTACTCAACGCACAAAACTAGTACATTCAATGCAACAACATCCTACCAGGTACCCACTTATAGTCCTGGGTAGAGAAGGACAAACGTAGATAAAGTGCCTTGCTGAAGGCAGGGACGTGTCCAGGGGAGAGCCGTGGGAGCTGCGGCTCCCCCCCTTTGTACACATTGTTACTGTTTTAAAGCTTGCTTTTGTTAGACAATACAAATTCTTTCCTGGGAACACCCAAAATGAATTAATTCTAAAATATGTAAATATGCATCAGCAAACGTTATACATATAATAGGCCTACTATAATTTTAACACCTAAAAGCCTAAACATGAATTGTTTATATGCATATTAGAAATACAAGAACATATTTTGTTCTCATAGAGAAATATATTTTCTCTATGGTGTGTTATAACTCAATTTGCTGATCTATGCTATGTGATAGTGATAGTCAACACAGAGGACGACGTGTCACTTTTAAGCAATTACAAATTTAAAAAAACAAAAAATAAACAAACCAGAGTTTGCTGATGATTTAAACGCTGTACAATTTCTAAATGACTCCTTTCACTATGTCATATGTTTGTGACCTGTGCTCTGATCGAAACCCACAATAAACGTCTATTAATAAAAGTCTCCCGCTACCCTAATAGTAACCCAGTGGAATATTCATTAGAATAAACAATATATAACAATAATGCAGAAAAATAACACTTTTGGGATTATATAATGGCTTCACCGCTCAGGGGTGGGTTTATCAAACTTTAACAACAAAAAAAATCAGCTTAAATTTGTCTTAAATCCATAAATCCCAGGCCAGGTCGTTTAAGATACAGAAATGTGATAATGTATGGTTCAGTTTTGTTTTTATCCTTTTTTGTTTTGTTTAATAATGATGATAATAATGATGCTGATTGATAATAGATACGTTATTAATATTAATAATATTTAAAAGTGAAGAAAATTGTGCTAAAGTTGAAAAAAAATTTGTTACTGGTCCAATCAGGCCCGTAGTGTTGGGGGGGGGGGGGTGTTAAGGAGGTTACAACAAGGTTGCAACGAACCGCCCAAAAACTGGAGACGGTCTGCATTTAAAAACGAAAAATTGACATTCGTAGATGTATTTACAATGTTCTCCAGAATATCGGAGATCATACAAGCCAAACGGACCACTTTCCACTGAAACGAACGTCCCACAAATTAAGTCACGCTATGGGCCTGCCAATCATTATAATCATTCTACAGTAGGCCTAAGTTGTCCTGGGTTACCTAGATCTCTATGTTTGCTGAAAATCCCTGATAAAAGATCATGAAAAATTTGTTGGTGCTTCAATTTAGACATAGACATAGACATCACTTTATTAATCCAACTCCTTGGAAATTACATCGCTCTTTCAATAAATTAAGCAGGAATAAATAATAACTATCTTACATATCTACTATTAAATAGGTAAATGCCCCTCGCAATGAATGAGTTAGAATAACGGTTCGTGTTAGCAGCCGGTACCCTCAGTCTACCGCTGCGTTGTATAACGCAACTAGCAATAGTTGAATGTAACGGGTGACTTTCGTCAGACATCACATTATCAAACTTATTAACTAGTCGTTCTTCGACTATACAGTATTTGACTATACTGTATAATGGTGATGTGATGAATTTTACTATAAAAGTGTCATTTCCGGCCATCTAGATGTACTATTTCCTCAAATTTTCTCACCTCAGCCCAGAACAAGGTGGGGCTGCGGTGGCTGTGAACTCACAGCTTTGTAAACACATCAAAGACAATGTTTTTAAGTTTTTTTTTTCTAAGATACATCCCACATATTAATTAGATCTCTATGGTTGCTGAAGATCCTTTGATAAATGATCATGAGAAATTTGTTGGCGCTATTTATTTTGACTATATGATGGTGATATGATAATGATAATTAATTTTACTATATAAAGGTGTCATTTCCAGCCATCTAGAGGTACTATTTCCTCAAATATTCGCGCCTCAGTCCCAACCATGGTGCAGCTGAGGTGGGTCGATCCTATATCTGTGAAAGTCTCTCCCTGGGCCACCTGTCTTTCAAATGCCTAGATCCACCACTATTGAGTTATAATTATTGTTAGGTCTGCTAATATCATTTATGATGTGTCTATATTGAAATTTTCACCTTATACCCTCAAAACAGTCTTAAAACTCCAGAATGCGCTACCTTCCAGAGGTGTTTCGCCCCCTGGACCCCACCAGGGGGTCTTTGCACCTTGGACCTCACCGGGGTCCTTGGCGTAGGGAGGGGGACAGTCCAACCCTACAACCCTGCTCGGTACTATGTGCCTCACAAGAAGGCAACCCCCACCCCTGAAAAATCCTGGCTACGTCCCTGTGTTTATAGTGTAACAAATGCGTATTTTGCTCCTGTATCTTATGTGCAACAAATATAAACTTTACTGTATCTAGTACAAGCGAAAAAGTAATAATATTAATGTCATCTTATAAGGCACGTCCATTTTAGAGAGCTACTTGTTTCTGTATCATCTTGTACAAACACACAAACCAAGGTGTCAGTTGCTATACAGTAGAACCTCGATTTTACGTACGGTACGGGACCAGAGGGCGTACGTAAATCGGGGGATTCGTAAAATAAAGGTTGGATTAAATTTGTGGTAACCTTTGACCTAGTAATACGTACGTAACGCTCAATAAACGTATGTACGAACGAACGATGATACCTAGGCTAAACCTAGCCTAGGCTTAGGCCTACGAATAAAGCCATGTGTTTAGTGTTCTTATTCATCACTTTACGATGTCATAATAAAGTGTTCAAATAAAACCATGTGTCTAGTGTACTA